AATTGTTGGTGAACAAGATGAACAGTTGGTGACAAGAAAATAATCAATTTTTTGGCACCACTACTTGAATTAATAGTTTGGCAACCTTTGTAGTCTCTGATGAGCATCACAACTATCATCATCTTCCTCCGAGTCATCATACACCATGGTTTTTCTATCTCTCGTGGGTAGCTCTGCAATGCTGCCACCTCTTCCTCTCGAACATCATTAGCTCGAGCCTCTGATCCAAGTACAGAGCATAAGTCCTCATAAAGGCAAAGTGGTCCCATGAGCTCAAGTGCACCTCGCCCATGAAATTTGATAGGTTCAGGAGGCGGGTCCCCCTCCGAGTCGCCTACACGATCTCATCCCCGAGCACCGGGTCGCCGTCGTTCAGGAGGCGATGGACTAGCATCAAGGCCTTGAGCGCCAGCTCCGATTGCTTTCCGGATCGTGCTCGGCACCATCCCCGCCGTCGATCTGATTCGCTTCTGATTTAATATACCGTGCAATATTTTGGTTATTACCGTCGACGTCGAAGTCTCTAGATCTGTGGCGTGGACAGTCCGGCGAGTCAGATCTCGGAGTAGCCGACGACCAATCAAATTTCTCGTGTTTTTTTTAATGGGATTTGTTTGTTCTCTGTGTGTCTATTGACGAAAGATTGAGAAGGATTCTGAGACGAGAGAGAGAGAGCGTCTGAAGGAAGAAGAAGATGCAAACGACAAGGAGGAGGAGGAAGATGAGGTGGGTCTGGAGGAGGAGTAGAGACCCGCCATAGGAGGTTGACGAGAGAGGGATATGAGAGAGATGAAGTCTCTGGTCTGTGCATATATATATATATACAGAGAGCTTAAGGGGAGAGATCCCCATTTTTTGAAAAAAATGGGGATTAGGTGTGGGGCCCACTTCACATCTAATTTCAACGATTCGAACCGTCTATTTTGTTAGTCTCGATTCATAGATCATCATTGCAAAAATTCAATTCAATCCGAAACCATTTGCCCATTTAATTATCAATATCAAATTTCATATTTTCTTATATTACAAAGTATTCGTTCATTTCCTTGAACCCAATTAGATGTCTTAAACATTTCCAATTTAGCTAATATTTTGCAAGGATGATCTATGAATCAAGACTAACAAAATAGACGGTTCGGATCTTTGAAATTAGATGTGAAGTGGGCCCCACACCTAATCCCCATTTTTTTCAAAAAATGGGGATCCCTCCCCTTAAGCTCTCTGTGTGTATATATATATATATATATAACGGCTGAATTGTGTATGTATAGAGAGAGATAGAGAAAAGAGGGGAGAAGAAACTGTAGTTGAGTTTAGGAGTTTTCATTTCCGCATTTTTTAGAGATGGGTTTTGCAATGACTCTGCAGGTGTTTGGTTCTTGGGTTTCTGCAGATTCACGGTGGATATTGGTGAGGTTTCATGGTGGTGAGATGAAAAAAATGAAAAAGAACCAACATAGCTTTTCGTGTCGTTTCCCACAGACGGCGCCAAATGTTGATGCACAAAATCCGGAGGATCTTGGACCAACGTAAATCTGGCCGTGAATCACATAAACGCTCAAGAACACAAAGATGTATCGTGGTTCACCCCAATGTTTTGGCTACGTTCACACTGATGTTGATTATGTATGTATGTATGGATTACAATAGATCGGCAATGGAGCTCTCTGTGGATGCAGCCCTTGCCATTTTGCTCTCTGTTTGGCTGAGAGGTTATTGCCCTCTATACTGTGAGGGATGGATCTGAGACCCTTTATTTCTCTTTGGATATGAGGAGATCTTAATGAGGGTGAGGGAGAGTCCCTTTTATAGAATAAGGGCTCCTTCCCCTTTTACATTTGTCATAGGCTTAGGGACGAGGCCCAAAGACGAGGCCCAATATATGGTACCAACAAAAACAATCAGCACATTTGATCAAGGACCTAAGCCTCACGCGCCCACAAGGTAGGTGGGGGGGGGGGTTAAGCCAATGGATTTCCGATGCCTAAGTTAGTTTATCTGAAAAAGAGTAAGTGTTTAGGGCTTTTTAGGATTGTAAAAGTTCACCGAAATTTGGTAGAATATGAGGTATATATATAGGGGAGTGGCCGACCATGGTGTTAGGGTTTTACCCTACACATGGCGGCATCTTATTGGCCAAAGTTTATGGGGAAATATTCTCAAATATTAAATAGGAAATAATATCTAGAGATAATGAAGTAATTATCCCTTATTGATTTAAATAGGATTACTTACTTGAATAAAGTCAATCTTCAATTGAGAATGTATAAAGATAGGAGTTGGATAATTAATCCTCTATCTTTAATGCTTTGACTTTTCCTTGCCAATGACAAGTGAGTTGTGGGCAGTCGTATTCAACTGCAGGGACCTTCAAGGGTGTGAGCTGTGTGTGGGAGTATTTGAGGAGCTTGTCCATTCATTAAGGGCAATCTTGTATTTCTTGAGCAAAAATCCACATATGTCTCTAGAAATTTTGGAATTATTTTAGGCTCCACAATTCTCATCTTTGTTTGCGTGCAGTGTTTGAGTGATATAAACCCTCAAATATACAATTTTCTCTTTGATCGCATAAAGCTAGCCAAAGCATGAGTTGTAAAATGCAATCAGTTATCACTCGCGTCTATGTTCTTGAGCAATTCTGCAAAGCAATGGAGGTCTTCGTCTCTCTCCCTCCACAACATGAGTTCACAGTCTTTTATTTATTTTCTTAATTCCTCTCAGTTTTATATCTTTAAATTTTAATCTTTATTTATTTTTTTATTAGTTATAATCCATGTCATTTAATATTTAAAAGCCTCTATATCACACTACTTAATCAAGATCGTTGAATGTTATAAAATTTAATGGCTAATAAGAAGTTTAAAAATATTTGTCATAATATTTGTCGCTTGTTCTTAACGCATTAAATAAATAGAAAAAGATAAAACAATCATCAAACCTAATTATAGGTGGTCAATGTTTAAAAATTCTTCGACAAAAATTCAGAGAAAGATACGAAAATAGGGGATAAAGTCTAACTTCATCTTATATGGGAAAAACTCTTAAGTTTATGCTAAAATCTATTAATATTTTTGACACATCTATCAAATATCGGAAAAACTCTTATATTTCATCGAACTAATTTCCATCATTTCAATCAAAAGTAACCGATATCGATATTGATATTTGATATATCCGTCTATTTTTATAAATTTGCATATCGATATTTCTACCGAGACCAATATTTTAAATACTGCTTATAGTACATGAAAATGGTAAAGTTGATATAATTTCAAAACCTTGAGATGCAATATGAGAGAGCCAATTGAAAATCACCTAAAAAAATACTCTTTTTTTTGGTATTTATGCACAAAGCTAATATTTTAGGTGGTACCAGTATCTTATGTTCAACCTAGAGTAACAACACTAAACTGGGGGCATTCAAATCCCAAATCCCAACACCAGCGACTATGTACCTGACTCAAATTAGCAGAGGGCTCAAACTGTTCTATCCGAGTGTGAGTCTTTCTCCCAGTGTTGAGAGTTCTTCTCACTTTTAGTATGAGGCTTTTAATCTTGATAAAATTTGGTGGTGACAACCCTAGCTCCGGCCGGAGACGGTTGCCTTTCCCTCCTTTCTTTCTTCCTCTTCTTTTCCTGGTTTCTACTATTTTTTCCCCTAAATCTCTTTACCAATCTATACCGTTCCTTTGCTCCTGTGGATATCCCTTCTCCTAGCTCATCCCTTAGCCATGCATCATGTTGAGATCGTGTGTAGAGTTCTGGTGTTTACACCGGCTCGTGTGTTTCCAACACCACCACATTCTCTATGTTGTTTGCCTTTACGAGCAGTGTCACTCGTGGGTTTCCATGAGCTTAATTTTGATAGTTGGCTTTTCTCTTTTAGTTGCCGGCTATTCTGGTTTTACTGTGCTTGAGGAGCAGATTGGAGTGGGAAGATGCAATCGATGAGGCGATGCTTGACAGTGGAAGAGGAATTGGATGGATCATGTGGAACAGTGGAGGCAGAGAATACAGTAGAAGTTTCCAGATTCTGTTGTGTAGTTTTAGTCTTGGGCCTATCTGTTGATTGGCTCATTTTGTGTTTTATTTTGTTTTTGGCCCATCTTTTGTTTGTTTGTTTATATGTTTACTTTGAGCCTTTAATTAGCTTGTATATATGTTTTGGCTGGTTGGGAATAAAAAGAAGCGTTTACCAAAAAAATCCCAACACGGGCATCCAAATTATAATCCCCAAAGTTTGGCCCAGTCTATTCAATTTGCACCACGATCCACTCCATTTCTTTGAAGGCATCTACTTTCGTCTCTAACTAAATCTAAAAAAGGAAAACTAATGAAAATGACTTGAAAACTTTGAGTTTTAACGATAAAGACAAAATAAATGGTAAAATGAATAGTACTAGGATTGACTTTTTAGTGTAAAAATGTGATTTTTCGGTAAAATGAACAGTACCGGAAGCTTTTCGCTAAAGTTCCCATCTAAAAATGCATTCCATACAAAGTTCTCCTTGTTTCAAAGAAATGGTGCAAAGTTTTCATAAAGACACCATTGATTAGCTTTTAGGCACGGCCCCTTGGGCTCGTTTGGTTTTTCAGATTTGATTGAATAACTCGTTATATTCAAGGTACACTAAAGGAAGAATGAAATAAACTCACGCGACTGGAAGAAAGATAGAAGATGAGATGAGCTACACAGAAAGGAAGCTTGAATTATAGGGAGTTGTTCAATCAAATCCAATCCTAGGCAGCTTTGTACCTTCTAAAGATTGAGGGAGAAATAGATTTATGTCCTCACACTCTTTAACACTTTCCTCTAAAGGCTCGATTTTTTTTAAACTACATGCAAATCAAGTTCCCATTCATCTATTACAATCTAATTGTCTAAAAGATAAACAATTTCAATCACAAAAGCAAAACAAATTGTTGCAGAAGCATTGCCAAATACATATTACAAGTGTTAATCATATATATATATATATATATATATATATATATATATATAGTACAGCAAATACATACATTGATACATGATAACATTAAGGAAGGTAGTCCAATGCAAACTACCTGAAATCTTTTTCCCCTTTCACTTGTTTTCCCTTTTTTTCTTATACACAGCATCGTCGATATAAAACATCATCAATAATCAAATGACAAATAAACATATGTACATTTTACAGGGTTACCAGAAATTGTCATCGAATGCTACACTGGTTGATGGAGACGGATCCTCCTCTTCTTCCATTTCCAACTCTGGCTCTCCAGACCCGAATTCAGACTCAATATCTGCAAGATTCTTCAAATCAACAACAGATAGCTCGTCCAGGCGCCTAACCACCAAGTCTGCAGCCGCAAGCTCATATACAGGATGCTTACTGGCAACAGCCACACACTTCATCCGGGCATCGTGGGCAGCCTCAACTGTTTGATTTGAGTTCCCAAACACAATGCACCGCTCAGGTATGAACTTTAGAAGTTGTGCCGCGTACTCAAACATTTCTGGATCAGGTTTTCCCCTTTGAACATCTTCTGCAGCTACCATCACACTGAAATATTCTTCAATACCAATGGATCCCATTGCAGCCTCAAGAGTTTTTCGAGGGCGTGTAGAGACCAGTGCCATTGGTATCTTGTAATGCATCAAGACATTCACAAACTCTCTTGACCCGGCTCGGAATCGGTATATTCCACCCTGCAAAGCTTGGTAAATGTCTTCCTTTCGAGCAGCCATTCTTCTCAACTGTGCTGGGTCTCTCGACCAACAGAGAACCTCAGACATTGCCTGTTCATTCTTCATACCTTCAATTCTTCTAAGCATGAAAGCCGGGGGAGGAGATTTTCCTTCTTCTTGAGAAAGAACTAGCCAGGCTTGCTTCTCAAGATCAGTATTGTCTTCAATTAGAACTCCTTCCCACTCGAATATGGCAACTAGCCAACCACTCCCCATCCGCTCTTGCCGAAGCAAGGGATTGTGTAGTGAAGGGTTATCTGCTCTATTCTCCGGTGGCCACAACCCAGGTTTTCGATCTACACTGGCATCAGCAGGATAATTCCACTTCTGGGGAATTTTATCCTCCTTGAATGAATACGTCTCCTTCGCTAGTTCCATTGCAAGGGCCTTGATTGATGAATTCTTTGACTGATCCACTCTCAATCTAGGCAAATGAGGGGCCATAACAACCCTTCTACCAAGAATTTCTGCTAGAGGAAATCGACAGTTATCTGAAAATCTCCTCTTGCTGGAGAAATTCTTCAAGAAGGCTCCCGTGTACAGAGGTCGATGTCCAAGAAGAGATGTCGAAGCGACTGATTCAGCCATTATCAACACAGTGACAATACCTCAACCAAGCTAAACTTGTTTAACTTCACAGATTATCCTTATTCAACAAGCCTTTGAATTTTCAGCTGACTTCGACAGTCAAACCCGAAATCGAGCTAATTTACACCAATAAATCCTTTTCCAACAGAGGATTTAGAAATATAATCCAACCTCCCTCTGCAAATCCACTCAAATTTCAGTCTACCCTATACACATCTGGTTAAGGACCCCATAATTTTGCTAAAAACTGAGTCCTAATTATGCTTTACCAAACCTAACTATGTTGTCAAAGAACCATAAAAAAACAATCCCTTGAAGCAAAAACTAAGCATAACCCATCAGACCCATCAACCTAAATCCCCAAATTAACGACATCCACAGCTTAAAATTTATTAAAAATCCAACCCCCGAAAGTAAAAAAGCTGAAAACAACGGGGAAAAAAGGAGATTAAAAATATACAGAATATACACAGCAATTCAGCAAAAACCCCCCAAATTTCAGCCTCATAACCTCTAAAATTAATCAGATTTCACTCACAAACCAACCCAACTAGGCAAAAACTAGATACATGTATATACAAAGACACAGACTTTGGTATATCACAATTGGATTATTATGTGAAGATTATAGAATATTAAAAGTAAAACCTGGGGAATGACCAAAAGGGTTGGATGAAGGATTGGAGGGCCTGAAGATGCCACAGAGATGGAGAGAGAGAGAGAAATTGTTGGGAAAACGGATTGGATGAATCTCTCCCCTTATTGCCTTTCTTCTCGAGGAGGGTTTTCTGTGGCTTATAAATTGTGCTCGGAGAGAGCGGTGAAAAGCAACCGGCTTATGGACACGTGTCGGTGATTTGGTCGGTATACTTTTTCTTGGTCGGTATACTTTTTCTTTTCCGTAAGCGATATTGTGGCATGCGGAAGTTGAAGACATGAGCATGACTTTACACGTGCCGACACGTGCGGTGGTAAATTGGGAATCTGAATGATCCTTTTGGTAAGGAATTAATTTGACTTCTCATTCGTTGAGAAGTTTTTTTTTTCTCAATTTACTATGTGGTTAATTTATAAAGCTTCATGTTTATGATTCAGTTGAGATTGATCATATTATTACTTACTTCCTAAAAATTATTTTTCTAAAAAATCATTTAGATATTAGATCATTTAATCATTGAACTAATTTTTATAATAAATTTTATCACTAAAGAGATCATTATTGATAATAAAATATAGCTAAATTTAAGTGACTAGACTTATTTTAACAAACTAGACTATTGCTAATATTAGCTAATTTTGTTTTTGAACAAATGATATTATACTGGAGGAGGTGAGCTTAGCTTTAATATGAGTTAGTAATAATGTGGTTCAAATTTGTCTTTGACAAGAATCAAACATAAGACCTCTTACTTATAAGTAAAGATGAATATCACTAAACTATAGTATTAAGTGACGTATTAGCTCAACAAATTGAACTTATGTAAAGTTTTCTCTAGAATAATTTTCTATAGGTAATGTTAAGAACAGTAGATGATTTATTGTTCATGTATGTATGTAGACACTTTCCATAAGTAGGCAACAAGTCCTTTCTCATGAAGTGTGCCTCATTTTCCATATGTAGCCAACAAGTCATTTTCTCATTGCATAAAGGGTGACGTATATGCTTTTAATTGGACAAAGTCTTTCCTCACTAATTACCATAATTAGCGCTTCAATGTTGCTTGTATTGGACACTAAGACACATGAAATTATATATAACCAGTTCATCATTATAGAAGGCCTTGATTTGCACCAACTAATCATGCAGCGTGCAATATTATCAACCTAGGGCACCCAAATCATACAGTAGTGTGCTATTAGAGCAGTTCCACCGGAGGTGGAATAGCCCAGCACCCAGTCAAAAAACCAGGCTGGCACCCTGTCAATTCACTCCATCCCGTGAAATCGACTGGCACCCAGCCCAAGCCAGTCCACAGGCCGGCCTAAAATCGACAGACCTTGGGACTGGCCTATCTGACGTCAGCGTGGCGTCGAAGGAGAATCCGAGCACCGAGACAACGAGCGGTGAATCGCTCTGGAGCTCGTTCTGGAACTTGACCCAGAGCCGCCTTGGCCGAATCGGTGCGTCGAAGAGAACGAGTCGGTCGCTCGGCGGAGGACGGAGTAGGAGTACCGGTGGGGGGGCTTGGAGTTGGATTCCGGGGCAGTCCGTTTTTGGGTGATTTTTCGAAAGCAGACCAGGAGGAAGAGGAGGAGAGAGAAGGCGGTGGTGGTGGAGGCAGCGGCGATAGGGTGGGGGAAGCGGCTGCTGACACGGGGTTGAGGCTGAGGACTAGCTGCGGGCTATGGCGATGGGGAGTGAAGGAATTGGCGCATCGTGGGGACCAAAGACAGTCAGAGGAGTTGAAGGCGGAACAAGAAGAAAGTGTTTATAATAAAAAATAATAATATTTTAATAAAATTGACTAGGCTATTTTTTTTTTAGGGGTGGAGATGCATTGGTCTATTACTGTTCATTGGGGTCTATTACTGTTCATTTGAGTGGATAAATGCACTGGGTGCTGGCACAAAGTCCTTAGCGGTGGACTTGCTCTTAACTCACCTCTTTTATATTTTATACACACTTCTTAATTTTTGACTGTGATATCGAATGAATTGAAGATGATCAAATGACAGAAATTAACAAAAGTATGTGAGAGGTATAAAATGGTCTATGGATAGCATCACTCAAATTATATTGTATCTTTATCGCGAATAATATATGAAAATTATTTATCTTGCCAATTGTTTTACATTTGACGCTGGTGTATGTTACTTGAAAACATAACGATGTGAAATCATTTAACTATACAAACATCGTCATAATTAATTCTAATAGTTTCACCTTTTTTATCATAACCTAAAGATCATCTCTACACACATTTATTTAATTTCGAGCTTGTTTAGTCATCTATATGTGTCGAACAAATTAAGGGTTGTATAAGAACTAAGAAATTATATCTTTATTATTAACTTGTTTGATTCATATGAATGATTAAACAGTCTTTAAATCTATCTTTAAATCTATTCTCTTTAAAGGATGATAAAAGAAATTGAACATATCGAATTACAACTTATGTATGACAAATTATTACATCGTCATATAAAGATAATAACATGAGTCCTTACACGTAAGAAATCAAGTAGACTGGTGTTCCTAGAAAATGCATTCATTCAATGATAATGACTTTCTCACAAATGATCAGTTTTAAATATAAGTATTAGTCCTAGGCTTCATAGCCATCTATTTTTTATGGGGTGTGATATCCACACACTCTTTTTTACTTCTCCCACACCTTTTTGGTTTTCAGTCATCGGATCGGATGAATTGAAAAAAATCAACGGACGTAAATTAATAAGGAGTGTGTGAGAAGTAAAAAGAGGTGTGTGGATAGCACATCCCATTTTTATATGTAAAATGACTTTACCATCCCATCATCACCAATTGAATAATAAACAGAAAATTGTAAATAGGCTGCCATCCAAATCCAACATGGGAAGTGATCGACGGAAAGGAATGAGAAGGATTTGGGAGTGATAAAAACAATGGGAGCAGATTACTTCATTCTCACCATCAGATGGAGCAGTCAACAATACCTCTTATTGCTTCGTTCAACATTGAAATTCCACAAGGAACAACTACCCTCCCTCATATTAGTTGAATTTTTAAACAATTGTTTCACGATTTTTTCGTTGGCAAATAATTATTTTTGGTTTTGGAATAGTTTAATTTGGTCAGACCTTATCAAAGTTTTGTAAAAAATAGAGGCAAGGTTGAAGTTCAACTCTTTCGTGCAGGAGAGAACTAAAGTTAAGAAGCGTTAAATTGCGGGTTCTTATAAAGTCAAATTTTGGACGAGCTTAATTATTTTTAAGATAGATCCGTTTGATAACACATCAATTTTTAGTTTTTCATTTTTATAAAATTAAAAGTTGTATTGTTTTTTATTTTTTAAATGAAACGATAGTAGACTGAATGATTCCAAAAGTACTACAAGAAGTCAACTAAGATGTAACACCAATTCGAGCAAGCCGATGAATAACACCGTTGGTTTGGCGACGTGTATGGGTGAATGAAGCTTCAGTGATTAAAAAGAGAAGAGCCTTGATATCTTCAACAACCTGGCCAACAGGAGACAAGTTGGTGGAAGGATCTTTCAAGCCTCCACAATCTGAAGCGAGTCGAATTCAAATACAATGTTTTGACCCCCTAGACAACGCCCAAACCGGACCTTCTCTATTTGTCGTGCTGCTTGTAGCAGAGAGAATACATTAACAAAGTGACCACGTTTTGCAACCAAGAAACATCTCATTTCATCACGAACAATTCCCCCGAAGCCACCCAGATTATTGGCCATAATCCATGCTCCGTCAATGTTTATTTTCAGTTTGTCCGAGGGAGGGGCAAAGCCATTTTGGTGGAAAGGGAGGGTGTCGTGCTGTCTAAGAAATGGCAAAGGAGATATGGACAACGTCATGCCACCAATGGAGACTTCTAACCACAGTTACATCCAGGGCCTCACAGGTTTCGGTCCAAAGTTTCGAGTTTCAAGCTCCCTATATCGTTTAACAGATCATAAGAAAACATCGAAACTACTCGAGGGGAGGTTCTCAGCCGTATCATTGGCCCATGCTAGCGGGGAGGGAGAGGTGAGACCTTTCAGAGGGATGTCCAGGGGGAACGAGAGCCATGCACATTTAGCATATGGGCTTCCTTCAACAGATGCAACGTGGATTCGTTTGGGTGGTTGCACAAGACGCACTGCAAGTTGGAAGTGATGTACCTGTATCCAAGATTGGACCGAGTAGGGACATAATTGTTACAAGTTCTCCAAGCATAGGTTTTTACTTTGGGAGGGACATTAGCCTTCCATAATATGTCCCAAAATTTGCCGATAAGGTTGGGGATGGATGAGGAAAATGCCTCACCATTTGAAGGTTGAATCCTCTCGCATGCCAAATGGTAAGCACTACGGACAGAGAAAGTACCTTTCTTTTCAAAGTGCCACACCAACGAATGGGGGAAGGGGGAGTGATAGATCGAGTCGTATCCATTTCCATGACAGAGAAGATAGATTTTAAAAGATCAATTCTTCAAGATTTGGTGATGGGATCTATATGATCACTGACCGTAGCAGGATTACAACCTAAAGGCATAAGGGAGAAAGGACGAAATAGTGAGGGAGTAGGAATCCATGGATCGTTATTGATAATTGATTGCCCATTACCAACCTGCCAACATAGGCCTAATTCAATGATTCTCCGAGTAGCACAGATGCTGCAATAGGAGGTGTTCGGCCTAACCAGAGCCTCAAGAAAATACCTCTTAGGAAACTATTTAACCTTGAGGATTGTTGCCTATTGAATTTATAATATCGTAACCATCAAAGCTTGCATACTAAACTGGAGACAGAAACCCTAATCTATGCATGGGTAATAAATATACATGCACTAACCCTAATGACAGTAATGCTTGATAGTTAAACTAACCAGCATTCGACGCCATAGAGATCACTGCAGCAATATAATCTTCTTCTCTCTTGTGTAATCCATAGTATTACCAAACTCTCAATGGGACAAGTACATGTCAAGATCTGAAGTGGTAATGTTTTTCACACTGAGAGAAGGGACCATATCACTATATCCATATATATATGTTGTTGATGCACAAAACTGGAGGGGTCTTAGAACAACGTAAATCCGACCATGAATTTGTAAGAAAGTAAAGAACACAAGATGTATCATGGTTCATCCCAATGTTTGGGCTACGTCCACACTGATGTTGATATTGTTTCACTCTGAATGGTGAATATACAAGAAGGCTAAAGGCAGTGTGCTCTCTAGCCTATTTTCTCTCTTCCCATGGCCTCAACTTGACCTCCCTAATGAGGATAGTGAGGAGTCCTTTTATAGAATAAGGGCTCCTCACTTATTACATATTTGCCTCTTTATTCATTACATAATTACATTTGAGTCCTCCGAGTATTTATACGAGGTCTAAATACGGAGGCCCTAAGTATGGTACAAACAGGAGTCCCCCAAGTCTTCAGTCAAGAGAGTCTTTTGGCTGAAGACTTGAAATTCAGTCCATTGTGGGCCGAAGTAACTAGATGTCTTTTAGAACTGATACTCGATATGAGGCGGTGCTCAATCTGAAATGATGCTCAGCTAGAAGTAGTACATGTTGCGAGGTTGCTTGGCTTGTGCTTATGTTGCTTTGGTTGGCTCGGCTTGTGGCGTTGAAGGTGAGGGAATCTGTTTTATAGAATAAGGGCTCGCTCCTCAATACATAAATGATAGGCTAGAGTTGATGCTCACGGCGAGGTGATTGCTTAGCAGGCGGCGATGCTCTCTAATGAAGGTGAGGGAGTCCCTTTTATAGAATAAGGGCTCGCTCCTCAATACATAAGTGATGGGTTAGGAGTGATGCTCGCGGCAAGGCGGTTGCTCAGCTGGCGGCGATGCTCTCTAATGAAGGTGAGAGAGTCTTTTATAAAATAAGGGTTTGCTCCTCAATACATGAATAATGGGTGCTCTCTAATGAAAGTGAGGGAGTCCCTTTTATATAATAAGGGTTCGCTCCTCAGTACATAAATAATGGGCTAAAGTCCCCCAAGTATTTTTCATGAGGCTCAGTTGTGGAAGCCCAATATATGGTACATAGTGTAGTCCCCCAAGTCTTCAGTCAATAAAGGTTGTTGGCTGGGGACTTCAAATTCAATCCATGTATGGGTCGAAGTGGCGATTATTCGGAGGTGGTCTTTGTAGACCATGCATTGAAGCTTTGTAGGTGAAACTTTGAAAGTGAAGCTTTGAAGCTGAAGCTTTTGTAAATGAAGCTTTTGAAGATGGAGCTCTCGAAGCTGAAACTCTATGAATGAAGCTTTCGAAGCTGATTGACAGGAGTGATGTTCATGAATGTTTATGTTGATTGAGTGATGCTCATGGATGTTGACATGAGTGATGCTCATGAATGTTAACATGAGTGATGGTCATGAATGTTTATGTATGATTGACATGAGTGATACTCATGTATAATTTTGGAGTACTGGATGTACTTTTGATCACCTAGTTGGTGATAATAGTGGCAGGCTGCCGAATAATTTTGGAGTACTGTACTTTTGATCACCTGGTTGGTGATAATAGCGGCAGGCTGCCGAATAATTTTGGAGTACTAGACGTACTTTTGATCACCTGATTGGTGATAATAGCGGCAGGCTGCCGAATAATTTTGGAGTACTGGGCTTACTTTTGATCACCTGGTTGATGATAATATCGGTAAGGTGCCGAATAATTTTGAAGTACTGGACGTACTTTTGATCACCTAGTTGGTGATAATAGCGGCAGACTGTTGAATAATTTTGGAGTATTAGACGTACTTTTTTTTTTTGGCATGCTGCGTTATTTCTTTATTTATAATTATCCTCTGATGAAGTTATACAGATGTCTACAAAGGATAAGAAAAGTAAATCACATCATTTAAAGTAAGGATCTTTCTCCTAGGTTTTCCCATAGCTTTCTAAGAGAATGGGCAGGGAACATGCATTCCCTTTCATGATGAAAGTTTCATTGTTGGTGGGCATTTTCTTTGGTGGTCGACAAAATGTTGATGCATTGATAATAAAGATAATAAAGTTATATTCTTCCAGTGGTTGACACCCTTTTTTGTTTGTGGCTTTTCACGTGTTAGAGCATAATTTCCCACTTCCATTGTCAATGACTACAGTTGGGCGAGAGGCCGGGTCCATGAGAGAAAGCTTGCAACTTGAATTGTCTTTAATCATTACGGAGGTGGATACACTAAATTGTCGATGACTGCAATTGTTTTGGAACAGGTCCGTTTAGCAAATTGTTGGATACACTGAATTGGTCGAGATTGTACACAAACTCCGGGATTTCGCCGAAGAAAAAATTACCCTGCAAGTAAAGGTTACGAAGAGTAACGTAGGCCCCATGTTTGTAATTGCATAAGGAATGAAAAAGTGGGTAATTTTCCTGTGACCTTTCTCTATCAGTGCATGAACACCATCAGAAACGACAGTAAGACCACATATTCCAGATCCAACAAGCATGCCAGTCCGCAGTTGATCAAGCTTTGAGCGCTGATCGGCGCCAAGATCAGCATCCACTAGAGCTTTCTTCCCAGCAACAATCGAGTACCGAGGGCAATTGTTGAGCCGTCGATCGTTCTTCCCATCAATGTATCCCTTCGATGAGAACCTACAGATTTGGACCCCCGAATTGGGTCGGAAACTTGGACGCATCAAACCGATCAATTGGACCTACACCGCTATCTCCGGCAAGGAGCTTGTCGTAATAAGTGTTGACGGCGGAGTCGACCTCTTTGGTGTTGAGCTCAACGAACTCTTTGAAGTTGATGAAGCCGTCTCCGTCGGAATCGACCTCGGAGATCATGTTGTTGAGCTACTCGTCGGAGGACGGCTGCCCCAGGCTGCTCATGATGGCTCCGAGCTCGGAAGACGAGATCTTTTTGTTGCCATTGACGTCGAATTTCTTGAAAACTTGGTCGAGCTCGATGATATGGGTTCGCGAGTAGGCTGAAACGATGACGGAGGCAGCGAGGTGGGCAGCGGAGGCGGCGGGGTGGGTAGCAACGACATCGGCGTGGGCAGCGGCGACGTCGGCGTGGGCAGCAGGGACGTCAGCGTGGGCAGCGGCGACGTCGGGACTGGATTTCTTATTCCTGGAGAAGAGGGATTTGAAACCCATATGGATTGGAAAAAACGACCAGAAACCGAAACTAATGGAAGGAAACAAAATTCGAGATTCAAATTTGGGGTTGCTGAATTCGAAAATTGGGGAATTTGGGATTTGATTTTTGTTTTTGGGATTTTATATGAAATTGGAGTGAGAAAACGTGTAAGGAGAGAAAAGATGAGAGAGAGTTTGGTTAAGGAGATGGTGTGGGAAACAAAACGGAATCCAACTGAATCTCTCTCTCTCTGTCACGCCTCTTTGTTTTCTGTTGAGTTTTACTCTGATGAATCCTTGCTAATTTTGGAAGACAAAAAGAGGGGGAGGGAGGGGAGAGAGAGATAAGTGTTTAATGGATGAGTTTAGGAGCTTAGTGAATGTTTTTCTGGAAAAGCCCAGTGAGGTTTTTGGGTTTTTTGCAGATTCATGGCGGATGTGAAAAAATGAAAGAGAATCGACATAGCTTTTCATGTCGTTTCCCACAGACGACGTCAAATGTTGATGCACAAAACCAGAGGGGTCTTGGAACAATGTAAATCCGCGTGCTGTTGGTACCACACATATTGGGCCTCAACATTTGGGCATCATTACCCAACCCATAATTATGTAAAATGAGGAGCCTCTTATTCTATAAAAGGGGACTCCTCCCTCTTCACAAATCGGACTCTGTGAATCCAACAGAGGATAACACCCTCACAAACACAACAACACTCTCTTCCTCAAGGGGACTCCTCTTGAGCTTGTAATTCATACATACAGTTACAGAGAAATACAATCAACATCAGTGTGGACGTAGCCTAAACATTGGGGTGAACCACGATACATCTTGTGTTCTTTACATTCTTGCAGATTCACGGTCGGATTTATGTTGTTCCAAGACCCCTCCGATTTTGTGCATCAACATTTGACGCCGTCTGTAGGAAAAGACACGAAAAGCTATGTCGGTTCTCTTTCATTTTTTCACCTCCACCGTGAATCTGCAAAATCACAAAAACCCCAGAAACGAGTCCCATCTTTCTCTCTCCTCTTAAATCTAATAGTCCACCACTAGCAGAAACGGATGAGGCTCAGTCTGTCCATTTTATTACTCTTTCTCTCTCTGAAAGAATCAAGCAAGCTTCCTTTTTGCTCCCGCAGTTACTCTCCCCATAAGCATCAACTGATAAGCTGTGAGATGTGTGTTTTCTACAACGCCTCTTCTTTTCTGTTGCCAAACCAAAGATTGTGATTCACCCAGATCAGGCAAGATGGTTTTATCGACCTTTCACTAACCCACACAGAAGACACTAAATCGATTTCCTCTCTTTCTCTCTTCGATTCTCAGAAGAAAATAAAAAGCTTTAGTCTTTCTTTCTCTAGAAAACAATAGGACACAACCAGTACTTGTTTTCTTTCACTACTTTCAGTCTTTCAGGGAAGCTAGTGCGGATTGAGCATGCTTTGACGACAGTCGGGTTTGGCCAAACCTTTTTGGGGATCAAAGAACACAAAACCTTCGCAGATCTCTCTCTCTCATCAGCCACTCTACACTGAAAATCCAAAACTCGTAGAAAATCTCTTAAATTCCATTAATCGGTAATGGAAGATTTGCGGGAAATACTGCTGAAGTCGTTGGAGAGCTTCGACGTATGTGTCCCGGACGACGTGTCATTTGTTAAGGACCTGATGCCGGCGACCTCGGTCTCGATCTGCGGCCAGTCTCTCAATCTCATCGACAGAACGACGCCGTTTCCCACTTTCCTCCCCGACTCCTCAGTCGTCGACCAGTTTAAGCTCTGTACGGACATTGCCTCTGGGATCAAGAGCCTCGGTTACCTTGCCGACCTCAGCTTCCATCAAAGGGCTTATGCAAGTTGATAAGGTTCTTGGTGGAGAGGCTTTCAAATTCTTCTGAAGTTGGCAGAAAAGCTGGTTCAGAGGGTGTCAATGATGAAAGAAAAGAAAAGAAGGTAGCTCTGGAAGTAATTTGGAGGACAAAAACAAAATGGTGATAAGGAACCAGATCTTAGTGGTGACAAAGTTCGAGTCAAATTGGACTAACTCACATTGAAGGGTGAAGTGCCTGAAATCAGTATTAATGATGTGTGCACCTCTAGCACTAGAGGATTCAACAAGGACAGACAATAGAGAGGGAAGAAATAGAAGAAATAGAAGAAATAGAAGAAGTAAAAAGCTGAAAGGGTTTCTCACTCCCTACCCTTTAATCAAAACTTTCACAGAGAGAAGAGAGAGAGAGAGGGGTACAAGGCGAAGGTGGTACACGAAGCATTATAGTGACCATGTCCTTGGGTTATGCAGAGAAGCTTTCCTACATAGAAGATGTGGGCCAAGTCGGAATGACTGAACATTTCGACACGCCTCAAGTTTGCAAGAAAAAATTGAGTAGCTTGCTATGTTGATACAAAAGAGTAAGCATCTAGTAGTGTTTACAGGTGCAGGAATCTCGACTTCTTGTGGTATGCTCGACTTTCGAGGTCTAAGGGGAATTTGGACTCTGTAGGTGAGAATAAAAAAACCTCATACCAAATGCATAGAGTTGAATTTTTTTTCTTTGTGATTTGTCAACAAGGAAACCAAAAAGAGCTCCCGGTCGGTGTCTGGGTCTGATGTGCCCAGGAAAAAGCCTAGTAAAGGTCCAAACGCGGTGTTGATGGCTCACGAGGCATTCTATATGAGGAACAAGATGGTGGTGAAGGACGGGTACAATAAGCGGCGGTCGTTCGATCTTCTTCCACTTTTTTTGCGTAAAGGGTGTGGTTCGAAAAGCACAGCCCCTTCTTATTCCCTCCAACTTCCTCCATTTCCAGATCCGTGCTTCAGAGAGAATTGAGACTTTCCTATTCACATCTGAATCCGTGAACGAGGGTCACTTCGACAAGCTGTGCGATCAGATCTCTGATGCAGTGCTAGATGCCACTATTTTGGGTTTAGGAAAAGAAAGGAGCAAGAAAGTAAAAGTAATGCTTGATAGTGGGGCAAACACAGAAATGTGTTCTGGATCTCACAGAAGAGGGCGGTTGTCGACCACCCATATGCAAAAGCAAAGAATAAAGGGAAGTTTTGCTCTGCGAGAGCACATGGGAAACAAAAGCAAAAGTAGAAAAAAAAAAAGAAAAAATAAAGAGGAAGGAATTATACTTGGTCTGCCATCTGCTAAAAGGAAGAAAATAAAGAGGAAGGAATTGTAACTGGTGGTGGTGCGGCCCCTTTTATCTTGTAATCATAAATAAAGAGAGAAGGCAGCACGCCAAAAAAAAAAAGGGCAAGCCCTATATAATAGGTTGGAATGTTATATGGAGGGTGAAGGCCCATATGCCCAAAAGAGCCAAGCCATATGGCTTCAAACTCCAAACCCCATCCTCCACTTAAAGTTCACCCTCTATTATCACCAACCAAGTGATCAAAAGTACGCTCAGTACTCCAAAATTATTCGGCAGCCTGCCGCTATTATCACCCACTAGGTGATCAAAAGTACGTCCAGTACTTCAAAATTATTCGGCAGCCTGCCACTATTATCACCAACCAGGTGATCAAAAGTACGTCCAGTACTCCAAAATTATTCGGTAGCCTACCACTATTATCACCAACTAGGTGATCAAAAGTACGTCCAGTACTCCAAAATTATTCGGCAGCCTGCCGCTATTATCACCAACTTGGTGATCATAAGTACGTCCAGTACTCCAAAAATTATACATGAGCATCACTCATGTCAATCATACATAAACATTCATGAGCATCACTCATGTCAACATTCATGAGCATTGCTCATGTTAACATTCATGTCAACATCCATGAGCATCACTCATGTCAATCAACATAAACATTCATGAGCATCACTCATGTTAATCATCTTCAAAAGCTTCATTTACAAAAGCTACAGCTTCAAAGCTTCACTTTCAAAGCTTCACTTACAAAGCTTCAGTGCATGGTATACAAAAACCGCCTCCGAACAACCGCCACTTCGGCCCATACATGGTTGAATTTGAAGTCTCCAGCCAATAGACTCTATTGACTAAAGACTTGGGGGACTACACTATGTACCACACACTAACTGGGCCTCATGAAAAATACTTGGTGGATCTAGCCCATCACTGATATATTGAGGAGCGAGCCCTTACTCTATAAAATGGACTTTCTCACCATCATTAGAGAGCATCGCCGCTGCTAAGTAACCGCCTCACCGCAAGCATCAACTCTAGCCCATCACTTATGTATTGAGGAGCGAGCCTTTATTTTATAAAATGGACTCCCTCACTTTCATTAGAGAGCACCCATTATTCATGTATTGAGGAGCGAACCCTTATTCTATAAAAGGGACTCCCTCACCATCATTAGATAGCATCGCCGCCTGCTGAGCAACCGCCTCGCCGCGAGCATCAACTCTAGCCCATCACTTATGTATTGAGGAACGAGCCCTTATTCTATAAAAGGGACTCATTCACCATCATTAGAGAGCATCGCCGCCTGCTGAGCAACCGCCTCGCCATGAGCATCAACTCTAGCCCATCATTTATGTATTGAGGAGCGAACCCTTATTCTATAAAAGGGACTCCCTCACCTTCAATGCCGCAAGCCGAGCCAACCAAGGCAACATAAGCCACAAGCCAAGCATCCTTGCAACATGTGCTACTTCTAGTTGAGCATCATTTCATATTGAGCACCATCTCATATCGAGTATCAGTTCTAGACGACATCTAGTTACTTCGGCACACACATGGACTGAATTTCAAGTCTCCAGCCAAAAGACTCTTTTGACTAAAGACTTAGGGACTATTGTTGGTACCACACATATTGGGCCTCATACATTGACACATTAGGCCTTAACATTTGGGCATCATTACCCAGCCCATAATTATGTAAAAGGAGGAGCCCCTTTATTCTATAAAAGGGGACTCATCCTCTCTCACAAATCGAACTCTGTGAACCTAACAGAGGGCAACACCCTCATAAACACAACAACACTCTCTTCCTCAATGGGACTCCCCTTGAGCTTGTAATCCATACATACAGTTACA